GCAAATGTCAGTCATAGTTTATACATGATATTATATGTTTACACTCAGGTAACTTTCGTTTTCTTCTGTTGAACGCATCAGAGTAGTTGTGAAGTGAAGGCGTACTTCCGGATCTTAAATCAAATATCTTCGAGAAATATACTTAGTCTCCGTGATTGATATAGTTTTCGGATTCAACTGAGATACAACACGAAACAGATCAATTCATTTGTGATTAAATTCATTCTATCATCATGATTCTTTCGGTACCAAATATGATAGCAGGAATTTGTGACAATCCTAACCACGCGCAGTTGTCTATCAAATGCTCGTTTATGCACACAGCACGTTAGACAGTGGTCACGTCTTGTTTACTCGAAGTTTGTAACGTTTTTCATTTCAATGCTTGCTTCAGCGAACTGATATGGAAAAACATTTTGTAATCTGTCTCAATGACTGAAGTTCACATTTGCTTACCGTTCCTTTACAACTCTTGACAGTTTCACTCCTCCCAACCCAGTAGTGACTGAGCAGCCATCGGACCTCAATGCTATGGTCACCGATATCATTAAAGGGGTCGAAAGGTAAGTCTTGAGGCTTCAATTCGATAAAGCTGACGATAATGACTCATGAATTCAACCTTGTTGTGTGAATCTAGTTCATTGTCTTGTTCAGGGATTGCGGCAGTTCTATTATGACGTTTATTCCTATTTTAATCGGGGGTTTCTCCTGATATCAAATGTTTAGCTTGCTAAGTTTAAATGATGCAGATCAACGTGAAGTCCTTTAACAGCCAGGATCCTCCTGGGTTCGATAATCCTGACTTCAGCACACGCAGTAGGATAGAGTTGTAAAATTTGAGCAGCTCAACTACTTTCCTGTATCGAATCGAGGAAGTGACAAACACTTCTCAAGACGCGATAATCATCAATGTATTTATTTAACGCATTATGTCTTTTTCATTCAATTCCTGAACCCAGGAAGGCGACAGACATTCCAAGATTCAAGCATTTTCTTTACTTTCCTCAGTTACTGGAGGTAAACAAATTGATCCGTAAATCGCACGGGACTAATACCGCGGTAGACTCTATGCAGTCATGAGGGTATGAAAACACTGAACAGGAGACTTACTTATATAGGTCGCGTTAGGCTTCCTGACCAGTTTAACCGGTTGTTGGAGACACAGTGATATGACTGAGTGTTGTAAACATTGGTGTCTAGTCTATATCGTTGCAACATTGAATTTAGTATTTTCGCCTTGACCCTGTTTCCTACATTCCAATTTTCCCTCTACTGCAAAGGTAGCATAGCCTTGCGAAAGTGTATGATTAATGGTTGTTTAAGCTGAACTGAAGTGTTACCGCTTGCCTCAGCAGCGAAAAGATGAACTGTCTTGCATTTCTATGGTTTAATTAAGTAACTAGCTCGATCACTATCCCCACCCACCTCAAAAGAATTATTATTATCAAATCTAGCCTGTTACCCGCATAGAAACTTCATAATGAATAATTAAAAAGAATTCCTCGTGTTCTGAATAAACCATAGAATTTCTTTGTCAGTTTAACTAACTTCCAGATTTGGTCAGTCGGGTTAGTCTTTGAGCGAGGTAATCTCACAAAGCACCAACATTTAAAGAATAGGATTATGTAACGTAACTGTGAACGCTTGAGTCAGTTGAACTTGGTTATCTATTGTCGTGAGCTGTTTGTCACTCTAGTGACTAAGGAGAGTAACATAACTGCTTGCGTCGCACATTGCCTATCGTCGTCTTATGTGGACGATGTTTTTTTGCATATCCGAAACGTAAACCGCTAGTCATAAAAAAACGCACGCTTCAATACCCTGGGACTTGAGAGGCGCAATCTGCATTAGAATCCCATAAAGCAAGTATGACTTTGAGGCGGATCACTGAAGATACAACTGGTTTGGTGGTGGTTTCGTTCAAACCCGTTATTGATAAGCGTCTCCTGGTTTGGTTTCTCAGCTCTGTAGATAAAGCAGGCTCACATGATCCTGTGAATTCATCTTCGTATTGTTCTTCCAAGTCTCCTTCTGCCTACCACTCCCACTTTCAGGGATCCCGGTCAGCGGTCTTCATGTAAGACACAGCTGTGTGATCTTTTAATTGAGTAGGTGACCTGCGGAACACAAAGTTTAACATGATTGCCGTGTAATATATATATATATA